TTATATATAAAATTAAATATTATCCAGAAAGTTAAGTATATAATAGAATATAACATACTAAAAAAAACTTGATATAAAATATAGATATATTATATTTTAATTATAGTAAAAATTTTCTAATTTATATATATTAATATATTTTATAAAAAAAACTAAAAATTAATAATTAAAAGAATTAATATTTAGTTTAAAATTAAAAAAAAAAAAAAAATTAAAAATTATTCTGATATCAATAAACAATAAAAAATAGAACAACAATAAATGTAAGCATAAACTATCGAAAATTAAGATGACTATGAATGTATATTAAGCTAAAATGAAATAAATAATACTTTTCACTAAAAAGTAGAATAAAATAAATAACTAATATAAAAGAACAAATAATTAGAGTTAAAAATAGAATAATTAAATTTATTATTAAACCAAAAAAACAAACAAGAAATAAACTAAAAATAATATAAAAATGGAAATTAATAAATTTAAGCCTTAAAAGATCAAAATTAATAATTAATTGCAACAATAGAATCGTACGAAACCGAACTTTAAAAAGTGAATTAATTATTAAAGAATCAATAAAAGTAAAAAAATAATTAGATGTATTAAAATAATAAAATATTTGAAAATAAACAATAAAATAATAATCATAATGATTTAAGCTAATCTAAGATATAATCTATTAATAAAATATGTGAAGAAATAGAAAATTATAAATAATAAATTTCTTCTTTGGAAAATTTTATTAAAGATATGGATTTTGAACTATATTTAAATATAGTTTTACCAAAAATTGAGGAGAAAGTGAAAAATTACACAGGAAAATTATCTTAAACTGAATTTAGGAAAATTATTTTGAAATAAGATGTTGAAAACATATTGAAAATATTATAATTAAATTTAAGTAATTATTATATAAATTTAGATTATTAGATGAATTGATTAAATTTAATTATTTTTGTTTTGGTTTTGTTTTGTTTTTTTTTTCTCTTTTATTTTTTTTAATTTTTTTCTTGAATAAAATAATTTATATTATTATTTAATTTTTTTATTTATAAAAATATATTTATTTTTTAAAATTTCTTTAAATTGTAAATTTAATTTTTTTTATAAAAAAATATAAAAAAAATATAAACATAAAAAAATATGGAATAGGAAGTTGTTTTTAATAATTTAAAACCTATATTAAATTAGAAAGTACTTGAAATAATAAATGAAAAATTATAAAGGAAATCTTATAGTTCAAGCGACGCTTAATAATGGACAAACATTTTAAGCGAAAACATATTAAAATTCTTAACTGATTTTAATAAAAATTTTAAATTTATTGTAAATTGCTTAATTATGTAAAAAAGTGATGCAGGTGTAAGCATTTCAGGATCTTGTTATTGGGATAATGAAATAGATGGAAATTTAACAATAAAATGGGAAAATACATCACTTGTCTGTATTATTAATATATTTGGATGTGGTTTATGATTTTTTATATAAAATAATTTTATTATTTGTTTTTTATTTTATAATTAAATATAAAAAAAGCATTTTTAAAAAAATATATGTATATAAATAAATACATATATCTTTTTATTAAAAATAATAATATTTATTTATAATAAATTATTTTCTTTTTCATATATAAATATATTTAAATTCTTAAACCCTTAGATATTTTAGAATTTATTATATATTATCCATTTGTTTTTCTTTTACTTATTAATTAGTATAATTATTTATATAATGATATAATTATTTTTAGTGTTCAATAACTTGTTCGTATTCTTAAGCTATAATTAAATATATTTAAGCTTAAATTTTCTATTCCAAAACATTCAATTTTTTTTATTTTATAACAATTTTTTTAAATAAATAATTACTTTATTTTTTATTATTATATTTAAAGATTTTTAATATAATAATAATCTCTAAGATTATCTAAACGTAACATTTCTAAAAATATATTTCTAGTATTTCTAGCAAGTCATAAAAAATTTATAAATCTCAATAAATTTAATTTCTTTATAAATTTAAACTCCCATAATAAATTAATAAAGCCCCCCAACACAACCTCCTTAAAATTTTATTTTTCTCATATTTAAACCTAACAAAAAATTTTCTTAAAGATTTAAACTTATCCTATTATTAAATATAAAATAAAAAACAATTTCCTTAACAATATAGCTTATATTTAATAAAAAAAAAAATTACTATAAAAAATTTTATTTTAAAAAATAAAAAATACTTTAAAAATAATAATCTCGAATTCAAAAAAATACTTTTAAATAACTTATTAATATAAAGCACTTAAATAATCATCCGAAAAACTATAAAGACAATTATATATGTGAAAAAAAGAACATATTAACTCCAAAAAGTAATTCTTCCTTTAATAAAAAAGGCAATTAGGAAATTATTTATTATTTAATTAATTTTTTTTTTTTTTCTAATATTTTCTATTTAAAATTATATTTAAGCACATATTTTTTTTATAATCTTTCATTTCTTTATCTATCATGAATCTTTTAAATTCTTTTATTTTTCATAAAATATATTACTTTAGCCTTACATACTTTTTAGAATCGATAATACTTCTCCAATTATAAATCTGAATAAAATTGCCTATTAATATTATAATGATTGTAAAAACAATTTGTGTGTGATTTAATGGAAGTAAATTTCCCATAATAAACATTAGTCATAATGTAAGATACCAAATAAGTAGTATATAAGTATTAAATTTCAAAAGAAATTTATCTTTAGATACAATTATAATCATCAACGTTTTTATTTTTTAAATATAAGGTTGATTTTATTATTTATATATATGAATTTTATTTTTAGAGCTTATATAAATAATAATTAAATAAATAAAAAAAAACATATTAAAATGTTCGTTAGAATAAAATAAGTATTTTATATGTATTGAGAAGTTTTTTTTTATATAGAGAAAGACTTTAATACATTTGTCTAAATTTTATACATAGACACAATTTTTTTTGTATAAAAAAAATATAAATAGGCTTAAGATTTATTTTAAAAAGAAATTAATTTATTATAAAATGTCAAAATCAATCCAGTCAAATTTACAATATCCAAAAAATTATCCATTAAAAATATTTTTAATGTACATTTAATAAATTAAATTAATTAGATTATTTTCACTAATATACATTTGTCTATAAAAGATATTTTAAATTAAATTATTAATTATATTAAATAAAGGAAAAAAAAAGATATTATTAAAAATATATAAAGTCTATTATTAGAATTTAAAATTTAAATAATGTATGAAATCTCTATAGAAATTAAATAAAAAATATAAATGCTATTAAAAATATTATAAAGATGTAAAATAGATTTTATATTTGTTATTTATCGGTATTAATAATTTGTCGATTTGTGCGTTTTCATATTTTTATTAATTATCATAATTTATTGTTTTTATATTTTTTATAAAATTTACTAAAAGATTTTTTTTATTATTTTAAATGATTATTTATTCATATTTTTTTAAATATGTGTTTTTTTTTAAAAAAAATATTATTTTTTAAAATAATATAAAATTTTTATATCTATTTATATACAAATAATTTTTTTTTATCAAAAACATTATTTTAAATATTAAATTTATATTTATATCCGTATTTTATATTAATTATAATATTTTTTATACAAAAACTGAATAAAAAGTTTTTTAAGAAATACAAGTTAGAAATAAAAATTTAGTTTAAATAAAAAAATATATTTATATTAGTTTTTAAATTCATTATAAATATTATATATAGTTATAACTTTATAAATTGTATTTATATTTATTTTCTTTAAAAAAATAATTATTAATAATTATATTCTTTGTATTTAATTTTATCTATATTAAATATTTTAAATATTAAAAGATTTTTTTTTATTATATTTTTTAATATTCTTATTTTTATCTTTTTATTGATTTTTTTTAAATAAAAAAAAAAGTATTTTTCTAAAAAAAAAAAATTAGTTTTCTAATAAAAATATAATATAAATAATTATTTATTGTATTCAATTATAAATATATAATTAATTTGCTTATTATTATTTTTAAATAATATATATGTTTTGTATTTTCATGATTTTTTTATTTATTTTTTTAGAAATAAAAAAATGAAATAATAAATATTTTATTCATAGTTTAAACTTCGATTTATCTAAAATTTTTATAATAGCTGATGAAGGTTAAACTAATAAACTACTTCTTTTAGAAGGATAATTAAATAAATTATTAAGAGACTTTTCCGTATATTCATTATCTTTTTCAGTAAGAGGTATTATATTATGATTAGAATACATTTTTTGTATATTTTAAAAAAGTTTTTTTATTTTTAATCATTTTTTAAGTCAATAGAATTTAAAATTTTATTTTTATATTTATAAAAGCATTACTTTTTTCTAATAAATCTCAATTTTTTTTACACATTTAGATTAAGAAGATTACTTATATTTGAAAAGTTCCAGAACGGAAAATAGATATTAAAATTATATTGTTTTTCGAAATCGAATTGGATATTTTTTTTATTTTTTTCTTATTATTAAAATAAATCATTCAATATTTAAGAAATTACTTACTAAGGAATACTTTTTGATGAAGGGGAATTTTTCAAATTTTAACTTATTTATTTTTCAAATGGAGATATTTAATTTTTATTTTTTAAAAATACTCTTCTTTTGTGATTTTTACTTTATTAGTTAGGTCATATCATTAAATTTAGATTAGGCTTATTATATTAAAGGGGTTAAAATTTCTAATGTACCATAATTTTTAAAATTTTTTTGAATATTTTTCCAGAATTTTTCCTTTTTAATTATCTTTTCTTAATTCAAAGATTACAAAGAATTCTATTTTTTCAAATTTTCAGTTTTTGTTTAAATCTATACCGGGAAACATTATTCGCTAATGCTTTTTCTTTGGGTTTTATTTAAAGGAACTTTTTGATTATCTGTACTTCTAAGAAAATTGGAACAAAAAGGAGTGTTATTCAAATTTCCATTCTATTATAAAATTTCATCTATTTAAATATTTTCGGGCTAAAATTCCTTTATTTGTGAATTTTATTAATTTTCATGAATTCTACTTATTGTTAATTCATTTATTTAAATATTTTCAGGTTAAAAGTATTTTTTTAGTTGATTTTCATGTATTTTAGTTATTGAATTTAATGATTTTTATTAGAAGTTTTCAATTTTAAAATAACTCTTTTCGAAATCTTAATCTTCTTCATATTTTTATTAGAATGCATCTAGAGTCTATTTTTTTGATAATTTTATTTAATGTTTATTTTGTAAGAATTTTTTATTTTATTCTTCTTTTTATTCATAATTAAATAGTTATGTTTATTTTAGTTTGTTTTTTATATTAAATGTATAAATTTTTCCTTCGTTTTTGCTTTTATTATATTTACTTATTTTATTTTGTATTTTAGTTTGGCTTTTATTTCTTATTTGTTTATTTTTTTCATTTTCTTCAGATGAAAATTATTATTCAAAATTTCTATTATCATCTTTAGAAAGAGAAGAATATGAAATTTAACTTAATATTTAAAAAAAAAAAAAAAAAATTATATTTATAAACAAATACCTTTAAACACTATTATTATTAGATTCTAACCAACTTTAATCAAGAATAAAACTTTCATTATTTTCCATAAATATTAATCCTTTCGAAACTACATCTTTAAGTTATTTTTTTGTATTAAACCTATATATAAATATTTATATAAAAATAAAAAATTTTAAAAATAAAACTTTTTAAATTAATAATTTTTCCTTTGCCAAAAAATTCTTTTGAAATTTAAATTCTAAAAATTAACCTATTATATAACCTTAATTTTATCCGGTACAAAATGGACATCTTGGCATTCCAAAAATGAATGCGAATCTTTAAAGCAACTCAAACATTTTTAAAAAAGAAACTTTTTATTTTCCCCAAAAATCAACTAATCCTTTATCATACAGAACCTTTCAAAATCTTCACTAAAATCTTTAATAATATTTATAAAATCGTTCCTTTTTACAATCAAAATTTAGCAAAAATCTAAACTTTTTACACTCAATTTTCTCGCTTGTCCTGTAAAAAAACTCTATGTACCAAAATATTATCCTTTTTCCAAAACTTAAAACTTCTCTTCACATACTACTCCATTCGATTTCTTTATGCTTTTATAGACTTAAACTTTTCCTTTTTAAATAAAATAAATTGCACAATCATCAGTTTAGTCTTCATTTTAAATCACATATTCAGGAGGATAATTCAGCTCTTTTATAATTGAACATATCATCTAGTTTGAATTTTGACTAAAATTTTCCTTAAAAATCGGGTTTTCTTCCAACACAAGTCTGTTAGCCTCTAAAATAAGTTCTTTTTTAATACTCTCTGGTAATTAATTTATTAAGTTTTCTTCAACTAAAGATTAATCTTGGTATTTTTTTTCCCAAAAATAATCTAAATATTCTCTAATTTTAAACCTTAGCTCTTAGCTAATATTTTTCTTTTCCATATAACAATTTATAGTATATAAATTATTACGCATCTCTTTTTAATGTTTAAACATATCTTAAAAAATATTACCTATTTAATTTACACTTATATATATATATATATATATGTTTATATAACAGTGTTTTTTTAAAAATAATATATATAAACATACGAATATGCAAAAATGCAGCAGGCAAATAATGTCGTAATTACGCATAAAATCATTTCATCGTCATTTTAAGGCGTTATGTCTCCATATCCAACTGTAATCATGGTAATAATGGTAAAATAATAAGCATTTATATATTATAAATTCCATATTTAGTTGTGAATTTTTTTATTATACATCCAATTTTAAGTTGGATGATGCGTATATACCCCAATTAAAATCCATCCACAAGAAAAAATATGGGCTACAAAAATTATAAAAAAAAGAATTTTCAAAATAGAAATAATGTTATTTTTTAAAGGCGATAAATTAAAAGACTCTTCTATTCTTTTAAATATTCGTGAAACATTATTAAGTTTAATAAAAAAAAGCATCTTAGAAATACCTATAAATAAATTAAACTAATTATTAAACCAAATATCAAATAAAAAAGGGGAAAATGCTATTAAATCACCATTTAGACAGTTTTTTATGTAATTTAAAATGACTTTTTATCTATCAGATACTATAAATCCTTTTGAATAATAGCCAGTATTCAAAGAAACTAACATATCAAGTATTATTATTGCAAAGCTTATATATATTAAATATTAAGGAAATAAAGTTTCAATTTATTATTTTACAGCTATATGAACCGGAATTATAAAAAACATTAAAATATAAGAAATACCTACAAGAAAATCCCAAAAAAGCTTATATTTGTTATTTGGGGTTATTAAAGGTATCTTATTTAGAGTCTTTTTAATATTTTTAAAGAGTTTAATTAAAAATTATATAATTTTATTCCTTATAAAATTTAGATTTTCTTTTAAATGCTACTATTAAATGTTATCGTGTTAAATATAAGGGTAGGACTTATCATTAATAAGAAATATTTAATTTGGTTTTAAATTAGCATAACTATAATGTATTTTTAAACGGTAAAGAAGATAACGTATATAAATTATTGTTGTAAATGAAAAATTTTTTAACCTAGTTTAAAATTAATGATATTTTTATTCATCTATAATTGATTAATTGTGAGTGCGATTATAATTAGATTTAAAAGGATGTGTTTATTAGTGATTTTACAAATATTAATTATTTGATACAAAAATCATTAATATTAAAAAAATCTTATATATATATCAAAAAAATATAAATATTTATAAATAATATTATAAAAAATGTTTTGTTAAAATTTATACAAAAATAAAATACTTATAAAATATTGAAAAAAATAATATATATATATATATATATATATATTTATATTTATATAATATATATATTTATAAATAAGAAGATTAATGCTTTATAATTTTTTAAAATCATTTACAATATAGTTCAATTAATTTAATTATTTATATTTATATCTATCTATTTATCTTCCTTTCTTCAGTAAATCTTACCAAATTTTTTTTTTTACATCATTATAAAAATATTTTTTATAAAAAAAATATATTTGTTTGATAAAAAAAATAATAATAAACTCATTTTTCATTTTAATAATCATAATTATTTATTTATTATCTCATTTTTTTATTTTAAAATTATAAACATATTTGATAAATTTTTTAAGTAAATTAATCTAATTATTTTATGAATTTAGAAAATTAATTTACCATATAAATGAAGCGAAAGACAAAAAAATTAGAAAAAAAATGAAAAAAAAGTACTTAAATTATATTATATTAATAATGAATTTTATTTTCTTTATGTTTCAAAAATATTTAATACAAGTCTTTAATCAAGAATAATAGTTTAAATCTGTAATATATAAAAATATCGAAAAATCTGTAAATTTTAAAAAATAATAATAATTTATATATTTACATATTTATAAAATAAATTTTAAAAGATAATTATATAAATATATTAAGACAATAAAATACATATATAATATGAAAAAAAGAAAAAAATTCAAAAATTTGTATCCTTAAAATAAAATATAACTCTATAAATATATAAAATTTAATATAAATTGTAAAAAATGGAAAATATAAGATATAATTATTAAAATTTATTAAAAAGCTAACAATCATAATTGAAAAACGATTTATATAAAATTTATTTAAATATAATTTAAAGAGATAAAAAAATATATAAAAAATAAATATATAGATTAAAAAATAAAATAATGAAAAATTAAAATATTAATATGTAAAAAAAAGAACAAAAATATTCAATTGTATATTATATAAATAAACATAAATATATTTATAAATATATATATGTATAAATATATTTATATATATTTAAAAATTATAAAAAATATTTAAATTATATTTTTATTTATATTTATATTTATTAATAAAATATTAATTTATTATAAAATAATTGTATATTTTATATAATATTTTATATTTGATTGCGTTTAAAATAAATAAAAATAAATATATAATATTTTTAATATTTAATAAAAAATAAACATAATTATATTTAGAAATATCTATATTTTAATAAAATAATATTTTTTCTATTTTGAAATTTACAAAAATAAAAGTTTTATTTATTTATGATATTATTTTTTTTAACTATTTATTTAACAATCAAAAATTTATATAAAAAATAATATAGTTATTCTTTATTTACAATAAATAAAAATATATCTATATATGTATATATCTTTATAAAAATATAAACATGTAATATAAAAATATATTAAATATTATATATCTATATAACAATTTATTAGTTTTTATTTATTTTATAAAAATAAATTATTTTACAAAAAATAAAAATTTTTATCTTTTTATTTATTTTTTTTATAGATATTTTTTTATATTAATTTAATAGCATAAAAGGATATTATTAATATTTTTTTTTATATATTATATTTTTTTATAATAAATTTAATTATTATATAATTTATAATTTTTAATAAATATTATATTTTTATTTTAATTTTAATATTATATATTTTTTTTTAATATTATGTTTTTTTCTTTTTGATTATTTTTAAAATAAAGTTTGTTAAAAAAACTAAATTTATTAATTTTATTAATCATTTATTAAAATTAATGAAATTATTATTATTAAATATAGAAATATGAATTATCTATTTTATGGTATAAATTAAATATTTTTAAAATATTGCTTTTTAATTCTTTAAATTAAAAAAATACAAGTTTTTTTTTAAAGAAATAATAATAATAAATACTAAAAGTTAAAAAAATTTATAAAATATATATATTGAATAAATAGATATATAAATATAATGTAAATTACTAAAAATTAAATAACTTAGCGTTTATCAAATTATAAAAGCGAAAAAATTTCTATTTTAAATAAATAATATTTAGACTTTCCAACTTCAACTATGGAGAGTTACAAAATAAATTATTCTAAAATTTCAGAAGCTTCATAAAATCAAATTTAAAATGAGCATGAATAAGTATAATAAAAGAAAATAAAAATATATTTTAAATATAATCGAATTCGCAAATGAAGAAAATGACTTATTAAATTTCAAAGAATCTTTTTCATTAATAAACATATAAATTGTCGATTTAATAAAATATTCATTAAAATATTTTAACGAAATCCTAAATTAATAAAATAAATACAACAGGCTAAATACTAATCATAAAATATGGAATTTATATATTGCTAGGAAAAACGGATAGCCAAAAGATGATTTGCCTTATCTAGATAAAGATTCAAATTTGTTATAGATTGGAATTGTAGAAAAATTTAGCCTACATTCAAATAATGATTTAAAAATAATTGAAATGAATAAAAATAATAATATAGATGATGAAAATGATCCTGATAAAGAAGGATTCTACTTTATGGATAACACTACTAATAAAAATATTATTAATATTTATTAAGGGAGTATAATTAAAAATAAAGATTAATAAATATAATAATTATAAAAAGATTTTTGTTTATGTAATTTTTGTACATGATATTTTCTTAAATAAACATTTATCAGATTGTTAATATATTTTATCTTTACTTAAAATTATATATAATTAAATTCCTATATTGTATGAAGTATAGTAAACTATTTATATATTTAAATAAATAATTTTTATTATTGTTAATTTATTTATTATTAATATATTTAACATATATATTATTTAAATATAATTAATAAAATATAAATTTAAAATAATTTTTATATATAATTATATCATTTTAATTTAATTATTTTATTTCTACAATTAATTTGTTTTAAAAAAATGCTAATTTTGTATTTAAAAAGAGAGAAAATAAATAATTTTAAAAAGTATTATTAATAAGACTTTATTTTAATATATCTTATTTATTTTTTTAAATAGATATTTATTTTTAATATATTAAAAAAAGATCTTTATATAAAAAAAAATTAAACTAGATTAATATGATATTAAATATTAATGATTTTTGGAAAAAAAAAGAAAAAACAAGAAAAACAAAAACTAAATATCTTAATTCTATATATTTATTTAAAATTTACATAAAATATAATATAATTTATTATATATTTACAAATGAAAATATTTATTTGTATATAAAATTTGACTAGATGGTTAATAATTATTATTTAAAATAAAAATATTTAAAATTTTTTAGAAAAATTTTAAAATTTTTGATATATTTTAATATAATATTAATTTAAAAATATATACAAAAAATACAAATTAAATAGATTATTATTTCAGAGTAATTATATTTTTTTATTCATAACATTTTTATTATATAATATTATGATCTTATTATATAATTTAATAAATTATGAATATAAAAAACTCAGATTAAAATAATTTAACTAATATATCTATATTAATAAAAAAATTAAATATATATATATATATATATATAAATATATATATATATATATATATATATATATATATATATATTTTATTTAATTTTTTATTAAAAATCTATAAATAATATTATATTTTCTTTTATTTAATAAATCAATATTTATTATTACACGAGAATTAATCAATATTAGATACTAGTATAAAGTATTTTTTTTTTTTAGATAATTTAATCTTTAATCATATATAATTTAAATAAAAAAATATATTTATAATTATATAAATTAAGATAATTTTATATTATAAAAAATTATGATATTATTTTAAGTTTTATTCATCTATCTAATATCTAAAAATATTTTTTAAATTAAAAATAATTGATATAATAAATTTTGTTTTATTTAAATAATTAACTCAATATATATATGTGTTAATTATATAAATTATTTTTAATTTTTAAAAATTTATTTTCAATAGTTTTAATTAATTATATATAGAAATAGCAATAATAAAAATAATTTGATTAAAAGTTATTATATTAAATATTAATAAATACGTATTATTTAATAATTATTTTTTACCTTTTTAAAAGGAAAAATTACATATATTAAAAGTTATTATTATAATAATATTTTATTTTTTATATTTTTAATAATTAAAATAATACAACATATTTTTTATTCTTTTAAAACATTAAGCATTAATTATAAAAATATATTAAGAAAATAAAATTAAAAACAATAAAATGAAGTAATAATTAAGCATAATTATTAGTATTAATCAAATTAAAAATTATAATAAATATCACAGAGTTTGTAGGTGTATATGCCATTGGACATTAAATTGTATTAAATTTTTAATGCTAATGTCAACATCGCTTTAAATTATAAGAAAATATTTTATTTAGGGTATTACCTTAATTAATATATAAGTACTTCATTGAAATTAATAAAAAATTTATTGTGCACTTAAGTTTATAAATTATAGTTAAATTATTAACAATAAAGAATTTCTTTAAGAAAGCCAAGCATTATATTGTAAATAGAATCAAGCATTTAGGGTAGGCTACTATGAATTTGCTTATGGTTATAAATAAATAAACGAAATCTAATAAAAATTATAAAATGAATGAATAATATGGATATTTTTTAGAGCTTAAAAATGAAGAATGTATATGTAGAGATTGATAATAACTAGAAATAATATTTATGCGAAAAATAAATCAAATCTTTAAAACTTAAAGAAAAAATAGAATTAGATAATAAAAAAATATACATAAAATTAATTAAAAATAGTCAATAAATTATAAATAATTTATAATCTATATAAATATTATTATTTTTTTAGTTATTTTTATTTTTCTT